GAGTTCGGTTCCCGGTACTGGAGAAAAACCAAAAAAAAAAAAAAAAAAAAAAAAAATCAGAAAGAACCTCTTCAAATATATTTTTTGGTCAATATTATTCAAAGATGTTTAGAACAGGGAAAATGGAATGCGCTCCTGAAAATATTAAATGGTCTGTGATATTGTTATCTTTGTTCCAAGAAAGGCTTCAGAACTGCAAATATAACAGAAGCAAGACTTCAATAACTAGACCTCTTCCCACGCAAACAGGTATTATATACAGAAAATGTGGGGGGGGGACCTCTGCAGTCATACATCTTAAAGTTTAAACTTCTAATAAGGCTTTTAATAACAGAACATAAATAGAAGCAAATTTCCTTTTTTATGATGACAGATAATCCAACAAACAGTAAAAACTTGTGCACTACTATCACCAACCACAACAAAATGTTGGAAAAACAAAATGTGTTATTTGTGCTTTGCATAACCTACTTTATTTTTAAGTGTACTCCATCAGACAACTCATCCAAATTAAGATAAATTTAAAATTCTCAATGAAAAGTGTTTAAATATCCAGACCTAACAAATATTTTATTAAATCAGACCTTGAAGTAAAACAACCCCTCTTACTTAGATAGAAAAATCAAAACATAGGGCCAAGGATGTAGCTCAGTGGCACAGTGCCTACCTAGCACACGCAAGGCCCTGAGTTCAATTCCCAGTACCAAAAAACTCAATCAAACAAAAATTATATGCAAACCACATAAAAATTTCCATATATTAAGAGCATGTGCTACTACTGTTTTTAACAATTGTTAGTTTTGTCCCAGTAATCTGTATTTAAAGATTACAGATGTGCTGCACAGTACCAGTTTAACAGATGATGTAATTTTAGGGGTGTACTTTGTTCAGATTATCTTTATCTTTAATGCTGTCACACAGAACAAGCTGCTTCAAATACTAGTATAAACCAAACCAACGACCAACTACTCTTATTTTTCCTCATCCCTATCATCTGTATTGCATATTCAAGTCTATTCTTGTCATACAAATGGACTGACTTAAAAAATTTCAAGTCAAACCATGATCAATATTATTGACACTCTAAAAATCTTTACTAAAGACAGATTCTTTTTTTCCTTTTTTTGGAGACAGGGTCTCAGTATAGTCAGGCTGGCCTTGACCTCACTATGTAGCCCAGGCTGGCATAGAACTAGCAGCAATCCTTCTGCCTCAACCTGTGCTGGGATTACAGATGTTGGTCACCACATCACAACCCTCAGATTTTTTTTTAGATTAGACTGGAGGTCACCAGCAGTGCTAGCTTTGTCTTTCCAGGATAAAATGCAACAAATTAACTAACCCTGCTTCTAATCCTTTGCAAATTCCTGCAGTAATCTTTTTTTCTTTTGACAGGGTCTCACTATGCAGTTCAGGTGGCCTTGAGCTCACTTTGCAGCTTAGGTTGGTCTTGAACTCACAACAATCCTCCTGCCTCTGCCTACCAAGTACTGGAATTACAGGCATTCACCACCACACCTGGCTTGGAGTAATCTTTTTAATAAAGTTTTCAATAAATCAACTTCCGCTTTTTGTTGCTGAAATTTTTTTTCCACTTATAAGCAAGCTATTGCCTTTCAGTTTGATTTCTGAAGGCACCTATAAAAGTGGCAAAATATTATCTTAAGATTTTCTAAATTCGTACGCCAACAGCTACAGCGTAAAATAAAAATATACCTAACCAATCTCTAAAGCCCATTAACCATCTTCTACACTTTGATTACTACACTTTGATTACTAATTTAATCTTTTGATTACTGCTGGTTAGGACTTGTATAATCTACCGAAGAGTAAACAAAAAACAGGATTTAAGAATACATCATAAGACTGGGTGCAGTGACACATGCCTGCAATCCCAGCACTTGGGAGACTGAGGCACGAGGATCTCCGTGAGTTCCAGGCTAGCCTAGGCTACACAGCAAGTTCAACAACAGCTTGGCCTGTATAGCAAGATCCTGTCTCCAAAAAAAAAAAAAAAAGGGTCATAGGCTGGTGGGGGAGCTCCATCGTAGAATGCTTCCCTGCATGAACAAGCCTGTGGGGTTCAATCTTTTGCACTGGAAAAAAACTATACTGGATATATGAAGCAGGTAACTTGATCAAAAATCTGCAAAGCATAAATTACTACCGATGAGTTTAGTTGTAAGTCAGCACTCTGAGATTACAACAGAGCTCTTTCTAAAAATACAAGTCTAAATCTTATTTCTTCCTTCTTATACTTTTCCTTAGTTCTACTGTTGTCTTTTCCTGGTTCTATTTGCTTCCTGACCCCTCTCTCAGTTCTGAGACTCGAACCAGGGCCTCTGCACTGGACTATATATCACCAGCCACTCCCTGGGCCCACTTAATTTTTGCAACAGGGTCTTGTTAGGTGCAGTGGCACCCAGGCTAGCCTCCCAGAGTGCTGTGAGCACAGATGCAAGCCAAGCCTGGCCGCTTTCATTCTTTCCTTCCCATCTTTTTAAGAGGTACTTCCCAGGAATTTGCTATCTATTTTTCATTCATTCTCCACATCTTCGTCCTCTTCTTTTGCAATCTTAGTACCTCAGAAACTATTTTGCAAATAATTCCCAAATCTCGGGCCTTAGTAGCTTTTCAACAGCCTACCCTACTTCTCCACTGGAATGCCAGCACTTCAAAGCCACCTGATCAAAATTAACGCCCCCCCCCTCCTTGTTTTTTTGAGACAGGGTTTCACTCTGCAGTTCAGGCTGGCCTTGAACTCCGGTGATTCTCCTGCCTTAGCCTCCCTGTGATGACAGGCATGCACCACCACATCTGGCTATCTTTCAGATCTCTTCATTCATGTTCCCTACTGCATTCTGTGTTTAATGACAGCATGTCCCACTTCCCACAATTTTAAAACCTTAAGTGCAGTCTTGGCTTCTCCCATTCCTCTAGTTCTCCATATCTGATGTGTCAATTTCCTGACAATGTGTTGTCAATCCTACCTGTTATGGTTTGGGGGATATTGTGCAAGGTTAACAATATAATACAGGACACATATTTTATAAGGTTATTTATAATAGTCACTCAAAGAATAGATATACAAGAGAGTGCAGGAAATCTGTCCATACATTAAGACCAAAGAATCTAGCCAAGGGCCTGAAACCCACAGAATTGTTCTGCATGAATCCAGCTGAAGACCTAGAGCTCATAACAATGCCTTCCACGAGTCCAACTGGCGGCCTAGAGCCCATAACAATATCTCATGCAGGCCTGTTCCACGGATCTGTGCTGGGAAGGCCCAAAGGTCAGTGGTGGAATCTAGGAAGCCTGTGCCAGTGGGATGAAGTATCTCTGCTAGCAGACTGAGGGATCTGCACTGGAGCCAGGAAGTGATATGTAAAGTAAGAACCAGAGCTCCCCCGCAAAGAAAAGTAGCACAGCCACCCTCAGCAAGAGTGAGGTCCCAATCTCCTCCAATGATCAAGATGGCTGAGTTCTCATCAGGAAAGCCAACGCAGCAAGCTTCTCCTGGAGACAGGCAGTGCACCGTCTTCCCCTCTGGAGCCAGGAAGTGATGCTGAAAGTGAGGACCAGAGCTCCCACAAAGTGAACTGAAGCTACTTTCTCAGTGCCAACAAGGTCCCAAGATCCTTGGAGGATGAAAACAGCCAAGTTCATCCGGAAAGCCAGCATGACAATCTCCTCCAAAACAACCAACAGATCCTTACAGCTTCTACCAGCTCCCAACAGCCTTTCTTCGCTCCCAACAGCCTAGCCTCTTCTTTTCCAGTTCTGCCTCTTATGTGGCTGGCAACAGTCCCCAAGTGGGCCTCCCATACCCAGCACCACGCTGATTCAGTTCAGCTGGGGGTTATAAGCTGACCACCACTGGTCAATCCAGTATACTACCTTTGAATTATATTACTCTAATGCAAATTCCTGCTGCATCTGCCTACTACATAATTTAATTCTAGTTTTTCTTTAGTCTCTTCCTGTGCAGGTCCAATCTTACTTTAGTCAAGTGCCTTTCAAAGGGAGAAGGGGAGATAAACTGCAAGAGGAGATAAACTTCAGACTTTAGACAGACCTGGATCTAATCTACCTTCCTAAACAGTTTCTTAGTTTACTAGTATGTTCTAGCCAACTGAATCCATCGCCTTTTCTTTTTACTTTTTTTTCCTTTCTCCAACCCCGGTCCCACCTTATGTTACTGGGAACTGAACATAAATCTGAGCACTGACTACCTCCCCAGCGGCCCCTCAGTCTTACCAGCTTTCACCTTTTCTTATACCTACCACCAGTTTTGCTTTTGTGTATTTCAGCCTCTGCTTGTTTCCTCAGTCTGAAGTAATACTCAGTTA